AGAATCTGGATCTGGAATGGAATTGATGACTTGTTATGCACCCTGCCTAATCTTTGGTGTAGGGCCTGTACATAGGCAGTCATACTGGAGGGTCTGGAGAAAATAGAGGCCTGTCTTTGGGGTACATAAAAACAGGATCTGAAAAGGGGATAGGCCATGTCTGGAATTGGGGGTGAATCTCATAGAAAATAGTGCTAGGGGAAGGCATTTAGTCCATGGCTTTTGCAATCTTGTTCTTTAAGGTGCCATTTGCCCTTTCTACTTCCCCACTACTCTGGGAGTGATAGGGGGAGTGGAAGGCCCGACTGATCCCTGAGGCTTTCATAATTTCTTGAATAATTTCCCCAGTGAAATGGCCACCTCTGTCACTTTCAATCACTTCAGGTACTTAGTATCTACATACCAGTAGCTTAAGAAGCTTACTTGCTGTGACCTTCATTGTGGCTGGGTAGGCCTCAGGCCAATCTGAAAAGAGATCAATGCACACCAACACTTTTTCATACACTCCTACCTTAGGCAGTTGAATATAGTCTATCTGCAGTCTTTGAAACAGGTGAAGTGGCCTTGGTGTAAGCTTACTTGGTGTTTTTACAGCCTGTCCTGGATTGTTTCTAGCACAAATCATGCAAGCTTGGGTGTGTTTAGCTGCTACAACAGTAAATCGGGGTGCTACCCAATAGGTGTTTACTATGCGGTCCATGTGCATCTTGGATAGATGTGTAGGTCCATGGGCCATCTAGGCCATCATGGGGTACAACACTCGTGGCAAACACAGTCCTCCACCTTTCCTCCACATTCTGTCATCATCAGGTTCTGCATCTTGCTTCCTCCAGAGGTCATGTTCTTCCTTGCTTGCCTGTCTTTTTAAGCTCAGCAGTATATTGTAGTCAACGGCGTAAGAACAACCGTAGAAGGATGTAATAGGATTGCTGCTTGCTTGGCTTTCCTCTTGTAATTTCATCTGTACTCTTCACGTGAGCTACCACCTTGATGATGCCTACTTGAGTGGGTAGCAGGATAGAGTCCATAAGTGCACACACAGCTTCAGAGTTCTTGATTGGAGTACCTGCTGAGGTGAGAAAATCACGAGCCCGCCATATAGGGCCAAAATCATGGGCTATACCGAAAGCATAGCGAGAGTCTGTATAAATATTAGCAGTGTTACCAGATGCCATTTTGCACGTTTCAGTGAGTGCCTTCAGCTCAGCCTCCTGTGCAGAGCAGTGAGGAGCGAGTGGTTCAGCTTTTATTACCTCATGTGCAGAGACTACAGCATATCCAGTGTGGAAATTACCCTTCTCATCAGCAACCATCTACAAAAAAACCTCAAAAGTTGCATTAGATAATGGAGAATCAATTACATGTGAAAAACCAGCTGTCTCTTGTGTCATTAGCGCTGCACAATCATGGGGTACCTGGGCGTCAGCTAACTCATCTGGTGAGAGTGAATTTACAAAAAGATCAGAAGTACAAGTACCATTCCCACTATCTCCACTCCCCTCTGTTAAATCCAGGGGAAGTTATGTAGATGGATTCAACACCATACACCTTTGCGTTCTGAGATGACTTGCAGTTTTGGTTGAACTTGTGACAGTATGCTGTTGATGTCATGTGGTGTGTATATGGTCACTGGGTTATCTAAGGAAGGCAGTAACAGACGCCACTGCCCTAACACATGAGGGGGCACCCCTGGCAACAGGGTTCAATCTGGTGGAGTAGTATGCTATTGGTCTTTGTTTACCACCACAGTCCTGTGTAAGGACAGATGTAGCATAACCTGATTGCTCAGTACAGAACAGGTTAAAAGTCTTTCTGTAATCTGGAAGACCCAGTGCCGGAGCTGACGTCACCAGCAAATTAAGGGTTGCAGAAAGCATTTTCTGCTGTATGTGTTAATTTAAATGGTTTGTTTTCGTTGGCCAGACAATCATACAGGGGCTGCAGGTAGACTGCTGCAGAGCAAAGCCAAGGTCGGCGGTATGAAACCAGGCCAATGAATGTATGCAGCGGGGTGTAATATTTTAACTGCAGTTTTTCTACTTTCCTTGAGATGTTTTTTGCCATGGGAAATACAATGTCCTAGGAAAATAACTTTTTCAACACATGCTTGCAATTTCGCTTTTGCAGCTTTGCAGCCTGCTTTTGCCAGAGATTTCAGAAAGGAAAGAGTGTTCACATTACAAGTTTCCATATCCTTGCAACATAAAAGTAAGTCATGGATATAATGCAATAAAATTACGTTATCTGCCCTTGGCCATGCTTCAAGAATCTGGGCCATAGCCATTCTGTACATAGTGGGTGAGTTTTGTGCGCCCTGGGGCAATACTGTCCAAGTGTACTGCTTGTGTTTATATGTAAATGCAAATAAATACTGACTGTCGGGATCCAGGGGCACAGAGAAAAATGCATTTGCCAAGTCAATAACAGTAGAGGAAGGTGGTATCTGTGACAATAAGGTGTGTGGGTTGTGAAAATTAGAGGCAATGAGTTCAGTTACAGCATTAACTGCTCTCAAATCATGTACCATACGGTAGACCACCCTTTCTCTTGGTTTTTCTTCATTGGGTACAATGGTGTGTTACAAGGGTAGGTGGTCTGTATAATTACGCCTGCCTGCAGTAATTCGTGCACAGATTGGTAAATAGCATCTTCCTGTGCTGGGCTTAGGGGTAATTGTTTTGGACAGGGAGGGGTGGCTCCGGGCAGTAGATTTACTTCTAATGGGGGCACAGAGAGTCTGCCTGTATCTGTCTTCCATGTAACCCATAGAGAATCAGAGACTGAGGACAAGTCAATGGCAGGTTCTGGCACATGGGTGATCATAGTGAGAGTTGCCAGATCATTTAAAAGGGATATCATTTGTTTGTCATCTAAAGGTACAGACAATGTTACTTTTCCAGTGGGGCTATACTGGATATTTGCATTAAGGGCAGACTGTATATCACTGCCTAGTAGATTAGCAGGGGCATGAGGGCTAACAAGTAGCCTTGTTACAAGGGCAGTAGAGTCGTGTAGCTGCAATCTCAGTTTGTGGGTAAGGGGAATGTCACTTGGAATCCCATCCACCCCTACACATGATAATACATCTTCAGACTTCTTGTACAGGAACACATATTTTTCCTGCAACATGAATGTAAAAGACTTTATTATGGTCAAAAATCAATAAAGATAATAACAATAACGGGACAAAAAAAGGCAGTGAGTAAATAACATATAAAAATCACTGCAAAAAGGAATGTATAATAGTCCCAAGAGAAGGTCAGCAGACTCGTTTAGACTCTTTAAAAGCGCGACCGGGCCCCCTGTGATGACATCAGACAGAGCTGGGAGGAAGTGACTGCCCCGGTCACTCGTCCCACCTATCAGAGAGCCGCACGGGAGGAAGGAGGAGGGAGTCAGAGTGGGAACTCTGACTCCCATCAGGCTGAGCCCCCACTGGACCCCAGGGAAAGTCACCCTCCTGCAAAAGGTGACAAACATTTTGTGTATGTGTATGTCTGACTCACATCATGCTGAGCCCCCATTGGACCCCACTGAAAGTCACCCTCCTGCAAAAGGTAGGAAACAGGAGGGTGACTCCCATCAGGCTGGAAACAGGAGGGTGACTCCCATCAGACTGGACCCCAGGGAAAGTCATTCTCCTGCAAAAGGTAGGAAACAGGAGGGTGACTTTACACATTTTGTGTATGTAACTATGTAACTATGTGTATGTCTGACTACCATCAGGCTGAGCCCCTGCTGGACCCCAGGGAAAGTCACCCTCCTGAAAAAGGTAGGAAACAGGAGGGTGACTTAAACATTGTGTGTATGTGTATGTCTGTATGTATGTGTGTGTCTGTCTGTGTGTCTATCTGTATGTGTCTGTATCATACAGACACATACATACAGAGACACGCACACAGACACATACATACAGACACACACACACACACATAGACACATACATAGAGATGCACACATACACACACACATAGACTGTATGTATGTGTGTATGTGTCTCTGTATGTATGTGTCTGTGTATGTGTTTATGTATGTATGTGTCTCTGTATGTATGTGTCTGTGTATTTGTGTGTCTCTGTATGTGTGTGTGTCTCTGTATGTATATGTTTGTATCATACAGACACATACATACAGAGACACACACATAAAGACACATAGATACAGAGACAAACACACATATAGACATACATACAGAGACACATACACAGATACAGACACGCACATACAGAGATGCACACATACACACACACACACACAGACATACATACATACTGAATATGTGTGTGTGTGTCTGTATGTATGTATGAATGTATGTGTGTGCTTGTGTGTCTGTCAGGGGTGTGTGTGTGTCTGTATGTATGTGTGTGTCTGACTGTGTGTATGTGTGTGTCTGACTGTGTGTATGTGTGTGTCTGTCTGTATGTATGTATGTGTCTGTCGGGGGGAATGTGTGTGTGTATATATCTGTCGGTCTGTATGTATTTGTGTGTATGTGTCTGTATGTATGTACGTGTCTGTGTGTATAGTGTTAAATCCACAATCTAGCACCCCTGACTCCCTAAATATAGTAAAACGTTACTTGTGTTCAAGTCTGCAGCTGCTGCCTCTGCCTCTGATCTGCCTGCTTGGCTGACATCAGAAGTGAATCTCTGAGCCAATAACAATGCTTTCAGATTGAATTGTCTGGGACTGCCAAGGATGCAGATCAGGGGCAGAGCCAGCATATGTCAAAGACAGACCTGGCCAATCCGCATCTCCGGATAGAGATGCATTGAATCAATGCATCTCTATGAGGAAAGTTCAGTGTCTTCATGCAGAGGGTGGAGACATTGAATGGCAGTAAGCTGTAGTTGTTTTGGTCATTATAGTGTCCCTTTAATGTAATTTGACCCTTACACATTAAATATTACAGGTTTTGCGTCTGCCTAGACAGTAATATAAAACTTAAAATAGCTAATAACAGAAAAACAAACAGACAGACTTGAGGTACAAAGACACAGTTTCATGAAAATCACAGGTTTTATTTGCACAATCAACTATACAAATGCAGTCGTGGCAATAACACCTATTACATATCCAATATATCTACAATACCAGAATGACACCAATACAAGTGATTTAACCATGAATAACGATATAACATTGATATATTATTTTACATTAGGAGAATTAAAAAAAGCATTTTTGCTTACTATTTTAAAACATTACATATGTTGTAATGTGTATAATCAACATATCACAAAAGGATTTTATTTCCTTGTCCTGGTTAAGTGGCACATAGTGACACTTTAAACAATTAAAACGATCATCTTATTGCAAGGTGAACACACAATTGCACTTATCATTTACACTTACCATTACAGTAAGTGGTACAAAAATTAGAATCCGGCTTAGCGTTCAGGATCTAAGCACTGAAACACTTATACCTTGTTTTCAGCAAACCTCTACAAACACTTTTGTTTTGGAACTACAGTTTATCCATGTTGGCTAAGAATGATGAAATCTAAACACAAGATGTAGAGGTTGCACATCCAAGATACAAGCATAACAATCCAAGTGTGTTTTTACCATTCATTGGATGATCATAACTTAAAGCAATGGAATTTCTTATGGAAAGATACAATATGCATCAACTTGACACTGCCCCTTGACAGTTCTGTTCTTTTTCAATGACTCAAGTATCTTTTTATATCTCAGATACAGATACACATCAACAATATCCGTATCACCGTTAGTTACTTGTAAAGTATTTCTAATCTGAACTGACTCACTTATGTAAGTAAAAAAAAATCTGAATATGAGAGAAAGCATTAAGATATCTGTCCAAGACAGACTACTGAATTCCATAAAATATTGTAATGGTGTGGCAGAGTCAGTGAGACTTTCTATAATGTCAGTAATAGGTTGGGGCCCTCTCTCCAGCATGATATGGTTAAGGCAGCTTTCAGTTGAATTTAAGTAACATGCACTACAATATTTAAAGGTCAGACTCTGAAGGCATTAGAGGAGGCAGTTAAGCCTGGGGACCTGATACTCTAAGGACAAGATATTCTTTTAAAACCTGTGTGTTTAAATGTGCTGTCATTATATTGTTTATAACTAGGGACTGGATTAGCTTGCCAGCTGGACAGTTATGAAATGTAATGTTTAGTTAGTCTCCAAAATGGAGTAGGATTTGTTTTTCTTTTCTTTTATTTACCACAGTGAAGCACTGCATTGCATACATTGGAAACTCTATAATAAACCACATTTCAATTTAATCCTGATGCTTGCATTTGGAGTTTCTTGCCAAGAGCCAGGCCATCCTACCACAACAGATACCAGGCAAAATATGAAATCAGTCATAGTTTTCTCTACATTTAATGGTTAAGCTATGGTAGTCCAAAGACTATAATGCTATAATAAATGGAAGTGTCTTCTTGTACAGGCAGATAGGGTGAACTAAAGTAAATGAGTTGTAGTATATTTTTGAACAAAACTACTCCCAATCAAGCTGGCTTCAGGGGTATGTGCCATTTTGGGAAGTAATTCTACATTTAGTGGTAACTTACAGTAAATTAAATCATTGTTGACTACAGTAGCTCTATATATGGAAAGAAAACATGCTGCTAAATGTACAACAGTTCCATCTTTTAATTTTATTATTCTATGGGTACACATCTTTCAAGGGAAATAGCATCCCCCACTTATTCTCTTAAACAGCCCATTTCAATGTTCAAACCGTTTATCCTCAGTATCTATGATGTGCACTATTGAATTAAACCACTTGTAGGGAAATTCAGCCTGTGAGGTGGGTTTTTGAAAATAATTAGGCTATGGCTGCATTTGTAGGAGGGTCTACAAGACCCATCAAAAACCAACATTACAGCATCTGTGACTCCATCCCTACTTACTCTACTTCTTTTAAAGCCGCCTTAAAATTGGTCTTGTTCTACAATCTAACCACCAGTTTGCATTTACCATACACGCATAACATACACCCCAGTAAATACTGGCCATAGAACAACCTGCACTAACTATAGTTTATAATAAGTTATCTAGTTACTTTCACATTCCATTTTGCATCCTGTAATGAAGTATTTCAGCGGCTAATCTTTGGGGATCCAGTAGCTGTGGAAACCTTTTCATTACAGCATCAACTAATGAAGGTTGGAAAATGGCACAAAGCCTTGTGCGGACATTTATTTGTTCCGGGGTGAACTGTTCAGTGCTTGGCCATTGGCGGAAATCGTTAGGAGGTGGAACTGACCTGCACGCAGGGTAGCTACTTTGATGTCTGTTCGAATGATTGACCGGGTTTGGCTCAGACCAGTACGCAAGTGAGGGTGTGGAGGATGCATTGTAATCATTAGGGAGGCTACAATGACCAGGGGGAATTGAATCAGTCAGTTCTCTTCTATATATTTGGTGAGGTGGGTACTGGGATGACCAATGTGATGACTGGTTATATGGGAAATAAGAAGCAGAATTATGTCCATGCGAAGTGGATTTTTGGGAGCAGTAGTGTTTATGGGTGGTATTGTCCATGTCATTTATGTCTGAACAGCAGTGTCTCTGCTGACTGCAACTGCAGAAGCCATGATCTACAGACTCATGAGAAGGATCACAGTAGCTTTTTGATACACTTGTCCATGTCTCAAAGCCAGAATCTGAAGATATATAGTGATGTGAGTCTTTAGATGTGCTTGAAGAGGAGTACCATTCAGGAGCTGAATTGTGATTTTGCTTAATTAGATTCTTATCCAGTGGTCTACACTTTTGTGAAGAGTTAGTTCTCTCCACTGGCAGTTTTGGAAAGGAGGATTTATCAGACTCTAAAGATGGAGTATCCACCAATGAAAGTTTTCTTGACTTTTTATCTTCAATAGAAGAGTACACAGTGCCTTTAGTGGGGGATAGCCTCGCATTTTCGCGCAATTCATCTGCCACAGAACGTTGAGTCTGGTTTACCCTCTCAGGATGATAAAACTTACACTTCATTCCATAGGTGCACTTTTTGCCTGAAGAAAAAGTAAAAACAAAAAACAGAATGGATCAGTCTTTTAATTCAAGTTCGTGTCAATAAAAATCTGGAAAATACTAAATACATTGAAGTACATCAACATTCTTTGATAAATATTATACTTTATGCACCCCACTTCCCACACACACATGCAGACAAACAGATACACATGCAGACACACACACATATTTACAGAGAAACACACACATACAGGCACACAAACACACATTCATATAGACACACACACACACACAGACACATGCACACACACACATACCGAGAAACATACATACAGACACACATACAGAGACATACATACAGACACATATACACTAACACACACACATGCAAAATGTTTAAGTCACCCTCCTGTTTCCTACCTTTTAGTTGCAGGAGGGTGGCTTTCACTGGGGCCCAGTGGTGGCTCAGGCTGATGGGAGTCAGAGTTCCTCCCGCATGGGTCTCTCTGATAGCTGGGAGGAGTGACCAGGGCAGTCACTTCCTCCCTGCGTCTAACATCATCACAGGGGGCCTGGTCGCGCTGTTAATGCGTGACAGTGCTGATCTGGGCACCTTGGATATTCATTGCCATTTGGTGGCCCTAACAGCATGGGCCACCCGATGGGCCCCTTAACGTTCTGCCCCGGCGGTTCTACCACGTGGGCCAGGGCCGGAACACACAGGGCCTGGCCCCCTGGAGAGACGGGCCCGGTCGCAGCTGCGACCCCTGCGACCGTGGAAGTTCCGCCAGTGCGCAAGGGCATCATAACTACTTCAGCATACTTTAATGGTTTTGCTGCTTGGAGTGTTTCATTCATAGAAATCAGGTACAGCTAACAAATATATTTGTAAATGTTGTTGATTGTCTTTTTTTGAGTCTCTACCAATGCAATCCCAAGCATACAAATATTAATAGAGGTTTATTGGACAAGTAGCTCATCAACTTCTGTAAAACTATATTTTGGCTACCCATCCTTTAAAATAACTAATTATCATTCTACCTTCAAATATATGCTTCTCTAGCTAGTAGGTTTTCTGTTGAATATTTATAGTTATACTAAGTTCACTGAAGGAATTTGCTTCCAAAGTTTTGACAAAAAAATAATAATTCTACAATAATTTTAAAAGCCTACCTATAAAAATTTTGTGAAAAGAAATCTTACCATAAGGACATTGTAGTTTCTTATTTTCGGGTCCACATGGTTTTTTCCTGAGGAAGTCTTCTAAATTTGGTCCATGTCGTCCCAAAGGATCATCAGGAGGCATAAATCTAAAGATAATAATGTTTTGAAATGTAAAATGTCTGCGTCTAGGTACAACTAACTATATACTGATATAATTTGGAAAATTGAATCACACAAACAACACCTACATGTCATTGACAAATGAGTACATCAGTAGGCGCTCCTCTATGAATTTCTTCCAGTCTGGCTTCTCGCTCTGCAAATCTCTGTAAGTATCATTTGAAACAATTATTCCATCACATTTGACGGCCAATTTCACTATGAACCTGTCGTCATAGCACACTAGTCGTTTTCCTCCAACCCTCCGGGAAGGTGTAAAAACTAAGATCTTTTTCTTTTCTAGCTCAGTGAGAATATGTTGATCTGAAAATAAACCCAAAGAGAACATAATTACTTAGTAATAGTATGAGGAATGTCAATGCATTGCTTTACAAATAAATGAAATTCGTAGTTGAAAATGAAAGTTCGTAGGCACACTTTCTGACAGGCTGGAGAGTGTTTTTACAGCCGAATAGAGCAAATGCAACCATTGACAAATGGAATTTACTATAAATATATATCTTAACAGCAGGCCATGTTTTTAAACTCATTGTACATGATAGGTTGTGCTTTATGGTTTGACAGACTCCATGTAGTTCAGGGGGCCCTTATATAGCTGTCCCAGTGCCTCTGTGCTTAGTGTTAGTTATGCTCCCAGGCACTGTGTTCAATTGGAAAGCAGATTAATAGCTATTTAGATTCACATGTGGGATCACAGTTTGCAATCTTTTTTGTTTCATTAATCTCTTCTGAAGATCTTTCGGTGTTATCATATTGAGGCCTTATGCTTCATTTTTTGTTTTGTCTCCATCTACATGTACCATACAGTAAGGATTGTTGGGTTGCAATCTCTTTAGCAAAGTTTGTAAACTAATTTTGTTATACCTGTTATAGGCACTTCAGGTCTAGGTTGCTCCTTTCTCCACAATGGTACAAATACAGTGATATCCTGGTGCCCTCTTTCCAAGAAGAAGTTGACAGCAAGAAGAATCCCTCGACATGAAAATACTTCTTTATTTCCATGACTGAAAAAAAATAAACAACACATTCATTATCAAAGTTTCACACTTGTTTTTTTTTAATGTGTATTCACAGTGAGACCAACTATTTCCATGTATGTATTACATAGATTGGCAATGACTTTCTTGCCAAACAATACTGCAATCGGGACAATCCTCCCTCGTGAATCCAGACACAACGGCTTAATTTACAGCACATTGGTGTAGAACAAAGTGACATCTATTTCTCCATTTCTATATTCCTCAATAGCAGGGGTAGGCAACCTTTGGCACTCCAAATTTTTTCGACTACAACTCAGGGGATATGTAGTTCACATTATCTGGAATATCAAAGCTTGCCTGTCCTTGCTCTATAGCAAAGCATGAGATTAACTTGCTTATAGAATAATTACAGCAACTACAGCACATGCACTGTCGATGCTAAGAAGGTAAGGTAAGCAGTAGAACTACATGTAGGAGGATTCTTCTGTTCTCCCCTGTGAGTCAATTTTAATTATACCATATTTTATGTTATCCCTTAGATGCTCACCCAGTCTCCACTCCTTCAAAAAAACATTAAAAACCCACTTCTTTGTAAAAGCATAGCAATTAAACTGTTAATAACTCCCGACTGATTTCTCTCTTGCAACTGTCATAAGTCTAATACTATCCTTACCTTTTGTGTCACTTTACCCCACTCCCTCTATCATGTAAGCTTATTGAACAGGACCCTCAACCCGTCTGTTCCTGTGTGTCCAACTTGTTTGGTTACAACTACATGTTTGTTTGTCCACCCACTGTAAAGCGCTGCGTGATTTGTTGGCGCCATATAAATATTAACATAATAATAATTATAAATGTTGTTTCTTAAGACCATAAGTTAAATGTACATTTTAACTTATACCTGAACACACTACACATTCTAGATCTTTATTCTAATTCCATTGTTTGTTATTGAAACAGTACATATGTTCTATTTCTCAATTAACAGTTTTGTTTTTAGTTAATCTAATTCTTGCATGTATTGTCCTTGTACAATAAATAATTGGAAATTATCAGCAATGCAAACTCTTGTGAAATATATATATATATATATATATACACACACACACACACACACACATATATATATATATATATATATATATTGTTTAAACATTATAAATTATTTAAAAATATATAAATAAATAGAAATCTAGGGCAGTTATGGCTAACCTTTGCAACTCAGAAGATGTTTGTAAACTTCCCTTTCCGTGATGCTCAGGTTTACTGTTTCACAAAGTGTTCCATTCGTCTATCTGCCTAACTAGGTTACTACTAGATAGGCAGCATCATGCTGGTTGTTTAAAGGTGTGACTTAGAGGAAGAAGAACAGCTGGTTTATCAAAGGTCACTGAATGAGGAAATTAGGCTGGAATAAAATAACATCTATCTCATGTTTCATTTGACCTTCAACGTGTTATTTTAATTTTTCTGTTTTATTTTTGGATGGTAGTTTCCTGGTTGTGTGCTGAACAAGGTTTATTGGTTTCTGAATAATTTGAAGATACATGTAATTCAAAGTTTATGCCTTGGTTTTTTTTAAATTTTGAATTACTTGCAGAAAGTGTGATCATGATACAGTTATCAAATGCTACTTTCGCGTCACTAGTATAAATAACTTTCACTGGTTACATTTTTTACAAGTATGATAGGCTCCTTAGAACTGATAGCAAACATTCTTTAAAGAGTCACTATCTTCATGTTAGAATATATTTATTGCTTATTAATTTTCCATTGTCACAAATATACGCATTACATTAATAGACATTAGTTGTGGTATACAAGGTTTTAGAATCAATTCACGTACAAACATTATCATCTCAGACAAGCAGAACGGTCACTGGTCAGCTGGGGGTATTATGTAGAGATAAGGAAGAAATATTTACTACTAACTGAGTGGTGGAACTATTCAATCAATTATTATATACAATTTAGAACTTTATGCCCTAATATTGAGATTGATATTTGTGCCCAAGCAGGGTTGCCATCTCTTTTCATACCACTCTTTATTATTATAATATGTACCTTTTCGAATGTTACACTTATATTTAAGTTGATTTAATACATATTCCCAGGTAGGGATTTCTTGTTTTAGCTAGTATCTAGATATAGTGACTTTAGCAGCCATAGTAAGTTGGATTAAAAGTTATCTTTTTTTGGAGCTTTATGACAGATAAATTAAAATAAAACATGACGATTTGGAAGTCATTCCCTAGGTCATGGTCCACCAATGTAACTAGCTCTTCCAAAACCCTACTTCATAAGGGAATTAATAAGTGTCAGTCCCACCATATATTCTTTGAACTACCCATCTTCATGTTAAAGATAAGATAGCTCATTTGCAGAATATGAAAATCAATATGCCATATTAGTTCACAGAGTGTAGTCATGGAGAAATAAAATACAACAGAGTTACGATGATGCCTTGCCCTTTGATCAGCTGAAACAGTCACTTCACACGGATTGCAAATTTAAAGGAAGTCAGATCGGTAATTTCTCAAGGGAAAAAATGACCTCACTGGATATTGCATATTTTTGCAGGATTCATTGAAGTGTCTCAACATGCTACAAGGATCTTTACAAAGGAATTTCAGTTTCTTTTATTTGGATAGCATAGTCTTGCAAATAATGAAAAGCAAATTAAACTAGGTTTATTGTGAAACTCTTCAGTATCTGCTAGAATTGTGAGGAAATCAGTGCCATTCATACCTTGATACCTCATTTGTGAAAAAGCTAGCAATCAAATATTGGCATTGAAACTGCTTGCATTAAACCTTAGTTTGTCTTAAGAAGCCAAGGTTTTAGTGGCCTGCTTTGGATTTTACAACTTCAGTGCACCTACTTGGGTAGAAATGCCTATGAATGAACCTCATGCTTATGAGGATTTATTTTTCACCAAGTTGTCCTCTCAATGATTTAACGTGGGACTTAGCTCAGAATATTATCACTCACAGTTCTCCATAAGTTGAGGTATTGCTGGGCTATTACCAAAATTTTGTATATACACCAGGCTTTCAAATGCTGAAATCCAACTGTGTTTAAGTAATTTCGGTCTATTTAATATTAAGACAGGCTAGTGTACCATTTTTAACCCTTTAAGGATCAATGCTATTGCAATTCCATGCTGGCATTTTACCTGTAGGGAAATAATTCTTAAAGGGTTAAAATATTGCTGGTACCATACATCACAAAAACAAATATACTCCAGCAACTAAATACATTTCATACAATCCAATAAAAAAAGGAGTAAATCAAGATTTCTATAGGATTAAAAAAAGCCAGCAATTATGTACCTGGTGTTTTGTGTTCATGATTGGAATAAGCCAAGCCAAAATCTACACAGTGACAAATAATGTATAAAGAAGCAAATGTAGCCTATATATTAACTATATAAATAAATAAATAAATTAATTTTATATATATATATATATATATATATATATTATACATACACCCACTCCAAATGTGTAGGACTAGAACATGTGTACTATGTGTGGGCTATCAGACTAAAAAATAAATAGGCATGTTGGAAGCAGAGGGGCAGAAGGTTCCGACGGCTACAATTATATGCCTATGATTGAAAGGTGTTAAGAACGTCTCAAGCAGGAGGCTCTGATTTAGCTTACACTGAGAAATTTCCAAGGAGGAGGAAAAACAGGTATATTTACATGAAGCATATTTGCATACTGCTAGCAGTGAGCTGTTCAGACAGGCAGGGTTCTGGGTATGTGAATCAGATATGAACAATGCAGCAGATTAAAGTTGCAGGAAGTAAGTGAGTGGAATTTCCCTGCTGTCCACCTGACACAAGATTAAACTCTGTACTTTGTGCTTTAGTGCAAGCCAAACACTTTTCTTTTGCTGGAAACATTAAACATCCTGTGTATCCATATAGAGTGACATGTGATTGAGGCATTTACTGGGATAATGATGTACACACTGAAATGCCCAAAATTAGTGATTAAAGTGTTATTTTTTGAGACTTTCATCAACCTCTTTTTAAAATCCCTTGTTTAATTGGGTCTTGAAAAAGTCAGTTGTGGGATTGAAATGTGAAACGCTAAGGAGTATTTTCTACAGAACAAATAAAGCACAATTACAAAGTCCTCAAAGTCCTTCTGAGTTTGTAATATATATATATACACACCTAGTGTTCAAGTAGAGATTGTAGCCGTATGAGTCCAGTGATGCAGATGACAAAAACAGATCAAATTTGTATCTTGTAATACCTTTTTTATTGAACTAACAGAATGTTTTAATGACAAGCTTTCGGGAGAGCCTCCCTTTCTCAAGTCTGAAGCATTTCTGAGCAAGACGACACATAGAATTCAAAGTTGAGTTGTGATACAGGGGTTAAAGCGCTTGAACCCCTGTATCACAACTCAGCTTTGAATTCTGTGTCATCTTGCTCAGAAATGCTTCAGACTTGAGAAAGGGAGGCTCTTCTGAAAGCTTGTCATTAAAAAATTCTGTTAGTCCAATAAAAAAGGTATTACAAGATACAAATTTGATCTGTTTTTTACATCTATATACACACACACATATATATATATAAATATATCCCAGCACACGATCTCCAGCACACATGATTCTTTAAAGACCCCTAAAACTGACAATTAGTGTAGGTAGTGATTTTTTTTATATAAAGCAAAAACCAAAAAGGTTATGGTAGGGAAAAAATTGTGATAGAAAACCCCTTCCACCTGAAGTCTGTGGATAGTTAATACAATGTTAAACAAGGATTTTCAATCACAATTTTTTCCGCACCATAACCTTTTTGTTTTTTTCTTCCCATGCACTACCAAGCCTCAATAGCAAACTAGTAACCAACCTCATGCTGATGATTTGCATTAACAATGAAACAGCTGTCCATGAGTGGTTCACTGGTTTTGCATCTCTTCCTAAGTTTTGTTTCAAAGCTGTTGTATACAGCAAACACAGACTCAAAGGAATCCATGTTTAAAATGGAATGAGGCAAAAATGTGATTCTTTGTTAAACTAATTTGCATATGCCCACCCAGAATCCTTTGCGGTAAATAACATCACTGCAAATTTGTGATTCCTGTGGGAAGAGCAAGTCTTATGGCTTGACTGGTGTGCAGCTTTTTGTTTAACATTGCATTAACTATACACACTCACACACACACTCACACACACACACACACACTCACACACACACTCTCTCTCTCTCTCTCTCACTCTCCCACTCTCCCACTCTCTATATATGTATAACTGTATGTCTATCTATATATAAAATCACTACCTACACTAATTTTCAATTTCAGAGATCTTTTAATAATCCTGTGTTCGGCCCATGTTAATGTGTGGTTGACCCTAGAGTTCTATTCATGAAAATGCATGAATGGAGCTGTGAGTATGCTTGCAGAAACTAGTCAGTAGGAAAAGGCTGTATGGGGTTGCTTAACTATTATATTTGATATAATAGGAGTGCCAGAAATAGCTGCAATTTTTCAGCTACTTCCTGATCTAGGTGCATTGTAGCAACATGCAAATTTTAGGTATTTGTAACAAGGGCTGAAACTTGAAATGGGAGTATTGTATGTTTATTTTATTGCTTCCTCCATTTAAATGCATTATCCATACACCTGTGTGCAGGAAGTTATCATAAACCTTTTTAGGTACAGTGACTGTGGCGACTGTGCCACCTCAAGTAAATAAAAAAAAATGCAAGGTAACAGATGCTAATGCTCAACAAGCATGGAATTCAATGCTGGTATAAGGACCTTGAACTCTGCACTGGACATTTTAGACCGCAATTTGGTTTTCGGTTTATTACAATTCAGAGTTTTGCGTATAAACTCATTGCCACTGTTTACAATGAATGTACAGAACTTTAGGTCAGACATATGCAAAACCTAAAGTTCTGTGTAACTTGTTTCAAAATAGGTCTAGATTATTACAGAAACAGGAAATGACTCTTTAGCAAGTTCTCTCTGTGTATTTAGAACCATTTAGTATACTCAAAAATGTAAAAAACAAACAAACAACCCCCTCCCCCCAATTTTTCTAAACCAGCGTCTACTGACCTAGTTCTCAAGGCACGCCAATAGAAGTATTTATTTCCCATTTTGTTCAAAATGGAATACTGATGTGAGCTGTCGTTTCTTTCAATGAAATAGAAAGAGAAAAACTGAAAATAATTTAGACCAGCAAATTGCATATGGTGGCTTCTTGCGCAAGTGTTTTTTCAAATATGTTTTAGATAATGAAACTATGCAAAATGCATGTGTGACTTTGTATGGGTATGTAGGGATCATACAGCAATCCATTTATTTTTAAAAGTCTCTCCAAAATGAATCTTTCATCATGAATCTTTTTTTAATGTCATGTTTTATCGGATAATGTTTAATGTCTGCAGTGTGCATTTTAACACCTGTGTGTCCATGTATGGCAAATATTATTAAACCAAAGATGAAGTCTAGCATCTGGGAGGCCACATACCTTCCTACACTGGGTGGTATTAAGCATGATGGGAGAGGTGTGGCTGAAAAGGAGGCATGCCTGTGATACAGTATGAATTAATGCTAAGACACGTGGAGAAATACATAAAATTATGATGTAATGACTCGGTTTTCCATATGTTCTGAGCTAGGTTGGTTATGTACAGGAGGTTGCAGAAGTGCTCTTGCAAGGGCAGAAAAGTTTGACAATGTTCTAGAGTTGCACATTCTGGAGACTTTTTTGGTGTCACTAGCAGCAGAAAACCAATTAAAAAAAACAGGGATGTGTCTCAAATCAGGACTGGCCTAACAGATCTGGGACAATGGCAATGTACACTGCAGTTTGATATTATAAAACCTTGTTTAGAAACATGCAATGGGCATACCACATTCATTTCTTCATATTATGAATGCAAAAAGACTACCTATGAACTTTACAAATTACCAAAGAGCTGGAAAAGGCTGCTGAAAAAAGTATTTAAAGTGAAATGAGAAGGTATACCAAGATAATTATAAAATAGATAGGTTTTACAAACCATCCAGTTTCCAGAGTTGATACGACTTGTCCAAGATAATATTTTGTTTTAAACAAATCCTGTGGTTATGTGCTTTTATTTTAACAGACCTGTTATGTTTTTCTTCTTCTTTAGTAAAATAGAAAACGGAAAATGCAAGTATTTTGCAAATTGTGGTTTGATCTGAAATGGTATCCTAGTATTGTAGTTTTTGATAACAGCACAATAAAACCTCATCTAAGAAAGTTTATGGAATGTTCACAATGCATAAACTCCCGCCCTGTCTTATAACAGAATTCAACAATTAATTACTTTATTGCCTAATAAATGAGCGTGAGACTGATTATTGAATTTGCCTTTAAAATTAACTATTTGTTTATTATGAATTATTTGTTCTCTATGGGCACTTGGCAGATTTAGGTACTTAAAAAAAAAAAAATGCACACACAGTTCATTGTCTGTAAGGACTGATCAGAGAGTCAATCGTTCACAGAATATGAAGACTTATATGAAACCAGTAGAGATGAAAACAGTACACCTGCTAGATAGCCAAAGGTTCTTGAGTCATTTGTTTCTAAACTGCTGGTAAAGATCCTGGTGTCTATGTTACTAAGAGACAGTCTCATACTACTATTGATTAGAACAGTCATCTAAACATTATATGGAGTTTCCCGTAGGCACCCCACACACCTCCTGTTTTCATTTAAAATGTTAAGCGCTATTTCGCTAGGGGTGCATCATTGCAAAATTAAATAAATAAAAAGTTAAAATATACTTCTTCAAATTAAATGTTGGTTTTACAACATGATGTTGCACAAAATGATTGTTTTGACCCACTTAATATAAGCTAGCTATGAAATATGTAGGTATTATCTATCTTTTACAGTTTTTATTTCTATACATATGATTTTACATTTTGTTTTTTTTATGTCTGAATATATGAATCATAGTTATCACATATACTCCATTTCAACCCACCTCATTGCCACATTGCTGCCATCAATGACAACTGGCCTCAAATTGTTTCCATCTTTGTCTTCTGGAGAAGATGAAGATGTGGTAGTCTTAGTTCCCTGGCCTCCACGTGGAACTAATAATGATTCTGAAGATTCCTCAGGTACAGTTTCCCTTTCTGGATTTCCTCCATGAGAAGGAGTCCCTCCGTGTTTCACAAGTTCACCCAGTACAGAGTTTGTATCAGCATCCACCCCTAGACTCTGCAGCGCCCCGTGAATCTCATCTGAAGAATATCCCAGTTTTCGGAAAAAGTCTATTTTCATTTGCATCTCTCCTTGGTCAGCAAAATCAGTGCTGACCCTAACCCTTCCTCTTGAGGGTGCAAATTGCAAGCTGTGGTTTCCCATGTCTGAGGATTCTCCATACCTCATAGGATTGTCATGGTGTGGGAGTTCATTTGAATTAAAAGTGCTAGTTGCTAAATCCAACGACCAATTTAAGTCGTAAGGAAGACTATCCATGCTGAGCACTTCAGTTGAATTCTGAGTTGACCTCTAGTTCCTGCAAGCAAAACATTAATGATTAATTTCCATTGATAGAATTTATAAAACATTCAATAATGTAACATCAGATTACAGTTCTTCTGGTATATTCCATATGTAGCTGTTTAACTCATTAATGGCAAATGGCAAATTACAAACTAGCATTTAAAGGTACTAAATAAAGAGGAATGTCTTAGTCTTTTAAAGGTAACAGGTCTCAAATGAATTTTAGATTAGCTAGTTTTGCTTTAAAAAATAAATTTCTAAATAATTTAATATAGATAGTTATTGAAGTATACGTACATAGAAAAAAAAACATATAACTTTATAGTCTGTAAAAACCTCAAGCCATGGATCCTATCAAACAACTAGAAAGGAATACTTTTAGCACTTAGACACTACCAAGTTCTTGAATTTTCAAAAATTTCCTTAAAGTTTCTATTTCGTATAAATGCGGTTATACTTCTGCTTTTTGTTAACATTATTAAACATGATATATAAACCGAACGGAAGTTGAAGGGAACTAAAGATTAATTGATGTCAACTGAACAGTAAAAGAGTAGTATTTTATTACATGTGGTAGAATTAGAATTTACATAAATGGCAAAGATGTCACAAGGCTAACAGCCAATCTTGATTAGAGTGTGTACCCTTAACATGTAGTTTATCAGTGATATTGTACACAGTCATGCACAGAACTAGTTTCAAAAACTCACCCCTTCAACTGTAACAAAGGTGCGGTATTGAAAAACATATTGACATTGCAGTTCACAGATAGAAGTACTTTAACCAATAAGGTGGCAGGAACTATGAAAACATTGTTTCTAAGCAGTTTGACAATTTTCCTATTTACATTTCGGGCTAATTTTCTTTAACATCTAGTTACTACATCAGTGGCAGCTGAAATTATTCAATATACATCAGGTTGAATGGGTTAAGCCTATAAGCGCTGTGCTAATTTAGTATGTTTTATGATAAGCAACCCTGTGCTTAATATTGGTTAACCCCAAAAAGGATCAATGACATACCAAGCAAGTCATGATATACAGCCCTTTGCTTAATCCTGGAGCTTAAGGGGTTAAAGTCAAAATAGTTCTGTCAACAAATCTCACTTCAACCTGTAATACATTAACTGAGTAGATTTGAAATTAATAGAACTACATGCAATGACTATAGGAATATTACTGACAAAAGAATAGACACTGAAAATACATGGTACGATTACGATATAAATTAGTAACAAACTAGTTAACTAAACAGTTTTATGCTGTTGCATTTTACATGTATATTTTGTTTGAGTAAGGCAAGTAAGAAGCACATTACGTACGTACATAAAATATTAAGTCATAATCTATGCAGTGTTTCTTGTTTATAGCTTGGGCTATAAACAATCAGTCTTTTCAACAGACAATCGTTTCCTGTGCCTTACCGGATGCTTCAGATTAAGTACGTTACGGAGAAATACAGTAATTAAAACTAAAAAAAATGTTTTCCTTACGTTCTGTACCAGTGACTGACAGGGAGGCCTGTTTGTGACATTTCTGTGCTGTGTTTTTATGTAACAGGAAGCTGAAGTACAGTCAGTCGGGCGTGTGCATGTGGGTGGTAATGAGAAAACCAGATCTGGTCATTTAAAGATATATTTCCACTACGAAGCCTATTTATTTTACCAAATATGTTCATTAAGCTTTTTTCCCCAATTAAATTTTTTTGTTTAAGAATACATCAAAAACAGAGATTCATTAGATATTATGCCACTTAATGGAATGTTAAAAGGTTTTAAGAATGGTTGCTAAGAGGCTGACAGGTTGGGAAAGTTTAACCCTTAAGATACTATGCCACTTGCATTACTAGTAAGAATAAGTCCCCTAGGTCTCAAGTTACATTTAGAAAAACGACATAAACTAGTGGAAGCACATTTGTGTTTACAGTCTGATTAGTAACTCCACTGTTCATGAGGACGACACAGAATATAAACATAACATATCCTAAATTATGAAAGCTGGTTGTCAGATCATTAGTTTATGAATAAATCCCTAATACATCTTTTCGTGGTTTCATCCAAATTAAAAAAAAAAAAAATACTTTAACTTGTTTATAATAATGAACGGTAAAAATAACATTAGCAACACTTTCTGGGTGATGACATGTATAAAACAATGACAATCCCAGAGTAAATAGACCATTCTGTAAAATTAATATAATCGTTTTTTTGAAAAAGTTTTTCTCCGGCTTAGAAAACAGGTGAGAAGATGTGACAGACAGGCTATAGCTGTGACAGGACCAAGGACACCTTAATTAAATATAACATAATACTGTGCAGACATACTGATGACAAAAGCAGTTCTAAACAGGAAGATCCTATTTATTGACAGATTAACGATTAACAGCAAAGCACACTGGTCAATCCCTGATCTGTCAGTGAACTTATAAAAGTTGAATATCTTTGCTGACATTCACTAGTTAAATGATCTGTTTCTACATTCACCTTTATTTATGTTGCTTAAACAAAGTATCATTCAGTTAGAGCACCTATTGCACATTACATTGTACGGTTTCAGATAGGTAAATATCAATGTTCAATGACAGGCCCGTCGGTCTACAGATTGTGATCAGGTAACCAAGTTAACTAAGGAGCTCAGTGAGCTGACTATCCCTGGGAAATAACCGGGCACTTACTGGATGATTCACTGAACTCTGAATTTAACAAATTATATCCAAATAAGAAAATGTAGGCAAAATGACCAAACTGTGATTAGAATGGAGTCAGGGAATTTTTCCAAAGCACCTATTTTTGTCTGATTTTTACATTTTGGATGTAATTCTGAGTTTAGTAAATAACCCTTTTAGTCAATGAGAATAAACAGATTTTAAGCGATAGTAATGGTTTACTATTATTTGTTCAGTCAAATGTTTTTTTTCAGTCAATATTACGCAACAATGTAATATAACATACTCTTGCTATCTTGCAAAGTGATTTTTACTCACAGCTCTGCAGTGGTTTCCGTGTGTCTGAACTGTGAGGGAGGGAGTGAGTGTAAGCATTGCTCTCAGCACAGTTGATAAGCGGAAACATCTGCATTTGTCACCCATTTTATACTTCTGCCTCAGGTAGGGGAGGAGACGGGATGGTTTGTTCTTTCACCTGCCTTTTTTTCCACTCCCCTCTACCATACTTCACAAGCTAGAGGAGGAGGAAATATTTTTATTTTTTTTAAGAAGCAAGAGTAGAGTTACAGAAGCACTGCCAACACCTGCTTAATGTTTAACCCATAACTGTCATCATCTTTGCATTTCTTCCTCAAGTGAAAAAAATATAACACAGGCAAGCATTATTAATTTACTCTAATTATATAAATACAGAAATAACAAAATATTTTCCATTATTAAATTTATATGTTAAAAATCATTCTGAAGGCTTATTTTATTCATTTAATGGTTTTATTTTAACATTTTGTGTATAATAAAACTGATGACTAAGATTGAAAGTTATTTTGAGATTGCACGTGATTTAGGTAGTGATGCACAGGTACGGAGCTTGTTAAATGGCTCTGGACTGGCATACCTTTTATAAGCCTGCTTACCATAAGGATGGTAGGTAGTGTGTGTAACAGGAACAAGAACTTAACATCCAGAACTGTACTACCACATCGTCCATCCCTTATCCTTCAGCACACTGGTATTGACTCCTCTGTCCGGTGGTTCTCCTGGGAAAGTATCAACACCTCGGCCTGCAAACTCTCGTGAGCAAATATTGATCCCTCTTCTCAGTTCTTCTCTTTGGCACCTTTTCAAAGGTGATTTTGTGATTCACCAAGATCAGAGGCTTACCTAGTGTGACAAATGCTCTTTACCATGGACGTTTGCCACAAGCTCCTGGAGGAGTGTGGAAGCTGGCCTCCTGCCCACCGACTATGGTCCAGGTTGGAGACCCCGTTCGGGATTTAACCTCCCCAGCCGCCATCAGCAGCTTCCCCCGGTGTCCCTGGTTTGGCACTTTCCCTTCTCTGGATTTGAACCGAACACCTGCTCCATGGCCACCGTTTGCATGAAGAAACCCACGAATGGTCTTCAGCGGTACTTAGCCACGACCGCTATTGAATTAATTACGAATTCGTGGTTCCCTGGTCACCTCAGCGTTACTTAGCCTTGAATTTTATGGAGCTGTTTTCCATATGATTGGTCGGGGGTTTTGAACCATTTTGCGACCAGCCAGGAGAGCACTTTTTGGAGGGAAGGTGCCTGAGACTAAGAGGAAGAAATGCTACCTGAGAGCCACCCAATATTGCGGCCGCATGAACTCCAGACAGTTTACCGATATAAGCACCAAGTGCCACGTGTGCAGCCAGTCAGAACTTTAACACTGTGGCGTTTCCCCTACACTGCAGGGATCTGAAAGCTATTTTGAGAACTTGGGCGCTCAGATCAGGGGTTTTTGGGGATGTATTATTTGTTGGGTTATTGTATATTTTTATGATGTTTTGGGGTATTTTTATGTTTTTGTGTTTGCCTCTCTGTTCCTGGGGGCTAATCAGTTTACCGGCCTTTAACGCAATAATCTCCCAGGCACAGAGATCTTTGGGAGGGGCTTGTCTTGAATAGAGACCCCATTCCATCAAGCCTGTCTGATGTATGGGTACACCAGAGTTATAATCACTGCTTCACTTCGGGACCTGGGAGACTCTTCAACGTATATACTCAGCCAGAGTATAGGGGATCTGTTACACCTAGGTCACTTGGCAACCAAGATTGATATGCATGTTGGCACCCCCTCTAAGAATTTAAAACTTTTTGTGTGTTCTTCTGCACCCCTTCATTCCTTTCTCTGTATCTCAAGACCATGTGTGTTAATCCCACACACTTAATCCCTCCTGTCCATCTTGAATTTGTCTTAATACCTTTTGTGTCTTTTAACCACAATACCTCTTGTGTATTTCATAATCCCTCATTATCTCCCATCATACACGATTGCTGTCGCATACAAACACGGACAGACGCACAATCAAATACATAGACAGATTAAACAAAAAATCACACACCATCACAACATTTATTATCACACAGTAATTATACAGTCACATATATACAGTGGTGTATCCTGGTTTTGTGCTGCCCTAGGCAGGACAAAACTCAGGCGCCCCCTCCCCCCGCGCTGCCCCACCTTCTAAATACACACACACAGTCAGACACACACACACACAGTCACACATACACAGTCAGACACACACACAAACACACACACAGTCAGACACAAACACACACACACACAGTCAGACACAAACACCCTCGCACACAGTCAGACACAAACACCCTCGCACACAGTCAGACACAAACACCCTCGCACACAGTCAGACACAAACACCCTCGCACACAGACAGACACAAACACAGACGCACACAGACAGACACAAACACACAGTCAGACGCAATAACTTTTTTTCAAAATTTAAATCCCCCCAACCTCCTTACCTTTGGGAGTGCTGGGGGAGGGGGTCTCTCTCTCCCTGGTGGTCCAGTGGCTGCCGGTCGGGCTGGGCGGCTCTGGCTGCTGTGCGGGTGGCTGGCGAGGGAACACTTCCTCTGAGCTGACTGCTCAGCTCTCTCGCTCGCCGCAGAGTGAGGCTGGGAGCCGGAATATGACGTCATCTTCCGGCTCCCAGCCTCACTCTGCGGCGCGCGAGGGAGCTAAGCAGTCAGCTCAGAGGAAGTGCTCCCTCGCCAGCCACCCGCCTGCCAGCGCCGCCCAGCCCGCTCGGCTAACTAGGCATTTGCCCTGGGCATTTGGGGGCGGCATTTTTTGCCGCCCCCTGAAAAATGCCGCCCAAGGCAAATGCCTTGTTTGCCTCGTGGCTAATACGTCCCTGCATATATACCTAGACACACATTCACACAATCAGTCACAGTGGTGAAACTACCACTGGTGCAGCCAGTGCAGCTGTACAGGGGCCCATATGCTACTGGGGGGCATGCTCTTAGAGCCACCCAAGGGTAATGGTAAATAGAGGTCCCACAAGTATACAATTAATAAGCAGTGTAGCGCTTATATGAAAAAATACAGTGTCATACCATGTGTAGTGGTGCCATATATGAATATAATAGTGTACAAAAATATTTAAAACACTTATCTTGAATAGTAATAGTGGTGACTTATTTCATAAATCTTTAAAAAAATTAAAATAGCATACAATTGTTTAAAAACATAGATTATAGTTAACTAACAATACTAAAAATGGAACATTCACAATTTTCAGAGCTAATGTGCCTAGCTCTGGTATAACATGCCTTTTGAAATTTAGTTAAAAGTTATAACATGGGAACTAATACATGGGAAGTGCACACAGTATCCACTATACAAAGACTGCATCAACTACAAACACACTAACACTACATCCCCTACATACACTGGCTTCCCTATATATATATATATATATATATATATATATATATATACATACACTACACTCTCTAAACACACACATTACATCCCCTACAAAAACACACTACATCACCTACTGCAGCTTTAAGTGTCCGCGAGACGGTGGTGGAATGAGTGGTGGGCCCTGGAGGCAGATTTAGGGCCAACCCTGTGGGCAGACTCGAGGCAGGCCACAGAGGCCCAGGTCTTGAGCTGTATAAGGGGCCACAATATTTCTGATGGCTGCCCTAGTAATAAAGGGAGCAACTTTTATGTAATTACAGAAAACATTAGTAACATAGAAATCCACAAAACAATGCAATATTTTCTGTTTGGTATATTCCAATGAAAGATGGACTGCAATTTACTAGGATCCATTCACAATCACTCTCTAAAAAACGTATAGCTAAGAAATTAGGTGGATGTTTTTTATACCTCTGATTTTTTTAGAATGTACACACATATTAATTGTTTCAGTCCTTGAAAAATTATTTGCAGTTGTGCTCCAACAAGGTTTTAATGCACCAATATACCTTTGAGATATGCCATACAGCATATCATGAATACACTTAATTAAGTCTTGGAAGGCTGCAGGTGCATTAATATAGCAGAAGGATTTTAATAGATGATTGTAGTGACCATTCTGTTTAATAAAAATAGTTAACTCATACTTTAAACCTTTCCAGGTTGAGTAACGGTCACATGTTGATGTTGATCACCAACATCTTCGCATTCTCCGTAATTTTGGTTTATGGGATACTGCTCTCTTCTGGTGCTCCTCCTACCTCTCCCAGCGCTCTTTCAGTGTTTCTTTCTCTGACTCTGCCTCTTCCCCCCAACCACTCTCTGTTGACGTCCCCCAAGGTTCTGTCCTTGGTCCCCTACTGTTCTCTATCTACACTGCCTCCCTTGGTAAACTCATCAGCTTCCGTTATCATTTCTATGCGGATGACACGCAAATCTACCTGTCCTCTCCTGATCTCTCTCTGCCCATCTTGGCTCGTGTCTCTGACTGCCTCTCTTCGATTTCCAAATGGATGGCTGCTCACTTCCTTAAACCCAACCTGTTCAAAACAGAACTTCTGGCCTTTCCTCCCTCAAGTGTTACTACTCCCGTGTCTCTCTCCCTCCAAGTCAACGGCACTACCATCACCTCTACCTTGCAGGCTCGCTGCCTGGGTGTTCTTTTTGACTCGAACCTCTCCTTCACCCCTCATGTCCAATCAATCGTCAAATTCTGTCGCTTCCATCTCAAAAACATAGCACACATCCGCCCCTATTTAACCCCGGATGCGGCTAGGGTGCTGGTCCATGCTCTTGTTCTCTCTCGCCTAGACTACTGCAATACTCTTCTCAGTGGTCTTATGTGTTCACAGATTGCACAGCTGCAATCTATAATGAATGCGGCGGCGAAGCTCATTTTCCTGTCCACCCGCACCTTTCACGCCTCCCCGCTCTGTCAGTCCCTGCATTATCTTCCAGTTAGATATAGGGCTTAATTTAAAATTCTGGTGCTTGCTTACAAGTCCCTACATAATGCTGCTCCAACCTACCTATCCTCCCTAATACACAAGTATGTCCCATCGAGGCCCCTACGCTCTGTCAAAAACCTACGTATATCCTCTGTCCGTACTCCAACCTCTAATGCTCGTCTCCAAGACTTTTCCAGGGCTGCACCTCTTGTGTGGAACTCCCTTACCTTCTCTGTAAGAATTTCACCCAGTCTCCACTCATTCAAAAAATAATTGAAAACTTACTTCTTCAAGAAAGCATATCAATTAAACTGTTAGCAGATTTTCATCCCCCACCCTCCATGACTCGTCTCCTGCAACTGTCAAAAATGACCTACTAAGCCCTCAATTAATGCTTTTCTAACAACCTACTTTGTTCCCCTACTTTTACCCTCTGTGTCACTATACCCCACTCCCTCTAGAATGTAAGCTCATAGAGCAGGGCCCTCCACCCCTCTATTCCTGTACGTCCAGTTGGCTGGTTACAATTACATGTATGTTTGTCCACCCATGTTAGTCCCCAGCGCTATGGAATTTGATGGTGCTATATAAATAATAAAATAATAATAATAATAACATGTGGTGGACACAGTTTCTTCTTGGTCAGTGACATTTATTTTGTATTCATAAATGTATTCAAGTCAATATAGTGACAGATAAAATATCTTCATCCAGCAAAAGATATAGAAGAATGTATAGGCCAGAATAGTTTTAAAGGAGAGTCTAAGCACCAAAATCGCTTCGTCTTAAACGGACACTCCAAGCACAAAAACAATTTCATCCTAATTAAGTTGTTATTGTGCCAGGAGGCCTCTGGAGGCACTCTTACCTCAAGGTTTTAAACCATTCTTCAGAACTAGCTTGGAAAGAAGCGTACCTTTCCCAAACCAGTTTAGTGAATGGAGGCTCATTGATTGAATGAGAGCATTACCTGACCACACAACGGCGCCCCTGCCCAGCAGCACTATGTGCTTCCTGAATTTGAAAATTCAGAAGCTGGATGCTGCTGTGGAGGGGCGGGAGCGGATATCACAGCTGGAAGCAACTTAGGGGTTAAACCACTAGATTAACCCCTTGATGGAAGAGTGCCTCTAGCGACCTCGTGGCACTAAAACAACCGTATTTAGATTAAATGTTTTGGTGCCTGGAGTGTCCCTCTAAAGGACCACTATAGGCACCCAGACCACTTCAGCTCAATGAAGTGGTCTGGGTGCCAGGTCCATCTAGTGTTAACCCTGTAGCTGTAAACATAGCAGTTTCAGAGAAACTGCTATGTTTACACTAGGGTTAATCCAGCCTCTAGTGGCTGTCTCACTGACAGCCGCTAGAGGCGCTTCCGCGCTTCTCACTGTGAAAATTACAGTGAGAAGACGCTGGACGTCCATAGGAAAGCATTGAAAAATGCTTTCCTATGTACTGTTTGAATGCAAGTGCGGCTCTTGTCGTGCATGCACATTAGGCGCTGACGTCGGCAGAGGGAGGGGAGCTGGAGAAAGGTAAGTGTTTAACCCTTTCAGCCCCGCGGGAGTGGGACCCTGAGGGTGGGGGGGACCTAAAGACCCTATAGTGCCATGAAAACAAGTTTGTTTTTCTGGCACTATAGTGATCCTTTAATGAAGAGATATTGGGATATAGTGGTTGTCCTAAAACCTGGCATATAAAAACATTTCCATTAATGGGAAATGTCACTGCTTTAATTTTGCTATCTATACAGCTTGGGATATCTGAATAAAAAAGATTCGATAACGGATTCTATTTTACATGAATAGTATTCTGATACTGAATGCTGGATGATTGCCTCTAATAGAAAAACAGCTACTCAGAGAATACGTTTAGTGCATTGCTCGACTGCCACACATATATCATGCTGGACAAAAAGTAATCAAGCTTGATCTCCCAGTAGCATGCTGACGTGAGGAGTCTGCCTCAAAGCTGGATTACACCTAAAATTAAGCACATTTTTTTAAGTGTTTGTTGTTTAGAAATGCCCTTTGATCTAAATCCTTAAATTAACTTAAAAAAGAAAATTGATTTTTTTCAGATAAAGACTAAAATTAGATGCTACATTCATAATTTCAATGTGGAGGCAATATGTTTATTCTTTTCTAGGAAGATCCCTGTAATGTTGTCAAGAAAACACAGATATTTGGATCATTAAGGGAACATTCCAATACCAATGCCAGAGGTTCAGCTTTGAAATGTCATTTAGACCCTGATAATTTTGAGAGGTGCTGTCCCCCTTAGTTTAATTGAGATCAGGATTTTGCAATCAAAACTAATAGTTGCCTCAAATATAATTTTAAAAGTAGAGAAGTTAAGGATGTTCTCCAATATATCAGACATAAAGTAGGAAACACACAGCTCTGAGCTAGAGCTAAGCACACAGATGCTGAGCTTAGCTCATTGGCTAAGAGTGATCAGCTGACACTATCAGCAAAGCCCTTGATTGCACCTAAGCAGGAGCTTCTGGCTCTCTTGGCTGCTGCATGGAAGTGGTTCTACCACAGTTACTTAAAATGGCACTCCTGACACCATAACCACTACAGTGTCATATAGAGTTATGGTGCTTGAAGTGTTTCCTTAACATCTGGACGTCATCCCAAGTAAGTGCACTGAAATTGAAACTTGATCATTTTTATTTTTTTGTACTATTACATACACAGTCATTGGACAATTCAGTAAGGCATCATTAAAAGGTGTGGGTCTCCTTATAGTAACACACCAGTATCCATTAATATGGAGAGACAGAAATGACTTGGCATGACACTTGGCTTTGGAATTTATGACAGTATGGTAAATGGCACTGTGGATCCATACAGCGAACTGTAGGTAATATTCCAATGCTATTAAGACAAAGGGGAAGCTACTGCTGAGACTTAGTATTGGGGAATGGAGCACTCTGTACCAAAACTGGCCCCATGGGCAATCTCAGACTTGTCTGCTCACATTTTTGCAGTAACATGTGCGGTAACTGACCGGTTAACTTTAACTGATTAACTGGTATAACTTCTTATGGCTGCAGTCACTAGCACTT